TACAACCTTATGCAAATGTTAAATTTATTTCTAAATATTTTATTCTCACTGATGCTACTGTAAATGGAACTGTCTTCTTAGTTTATGGCCTTATCTTTCACAGGGATGTACAAGTGTGGAAATAAAAACATGATGAGTCTATTCAGAATCAAGCTGACTTAATCCTAACACTGAAATCCAGTACAGGCTGAAACTTGATTTTACCTGTTAAGTATTAAACTAGCTAAATGCTGCCTTCTAAAATATCACAGTGATCCTTTTGATAGTAATGTTCCAGAACGTCTAATGTACTTACTGAGTTTAAATAAGACTTGTGAGAGGCAGAACAGGACAAGTTACCTAATCTAGCATTTTGTACTATTCATGTTTTCAGAGCATATTGCATAAAATTATCCTTTAAAATAAGAATTTCCCTGAACCAAAAAGGAACTGACAGTTTTTTGAGCACCTATTATGTATTAAAGTATACAATGAACCTACCAAAATTTACCTTATTCACCCCCACAACTCATGTTAAAGACTTCACCTAAAGTCACATTGATAGTCAACCCTGGAGCCAGATTCTAAGCTAGGTCTGACTCAAAGGGGCAGGCGCTTGTCACGACACTATACCAGAATCTGAACTGCAGCATTTTGAAAAATCTAACACTTGCGCACATCCCACAGCTTCGAAGGACGCTTCTTTCAGTCCTTTGCATGTTATTCAAGGCCACAGTTCAATTAAAGATGGAAACATCCAGAAAGAATGACTGCCTTTAGGGAACAACCACAGATGGAAGCGAGGGTAACTTAAAGCCTTTTGCACTTCTTAAACTTATACCATGTGCAAATATTATCTTTTCTAAATACAGAAAGAGTGAGAGAAAGACAGAAGGAAGAAAAGATGATGGAAATGAGAATGAGGAAAATAAAATAATTAGTTACCTTCTAGTCTTTCCTACCCTAAAATTTCTTCCACCTTTAGGGAGTCTCAGCAAGTACTATAAGGAATACTAAAAGGAAACATCCCCTACATAACCCTACTCCTTCTCCAACCCAAGTCCAATATCAGATTCTGGCCAGTTCTCTTAAAACCAAGAAAATACCTAAGTCAGAAAGAAGTGGAATTATCTTATCCTGCCTTACCCAGAACCAATCTCTATGCAATCTAAGCTTCTCTTCACCCCTGCAGGCAAAGAAAGACCATTTATCCCTCTCATACCAGGAAGGTCAAAAGAATTTCAGCATTTTAGGACTTGGGCCTCAGACATTCAGAGTCAGAGGAAATAGAATAGAAAGCCAATGAACTAAAAGTTATTTGAGCTGCATATCTCCTTTTTGTCTTAGATAATTTTACCAGAGGTAAGGTACACAACATAGAAATGATGATGGGAGTTATTATGCAGATGAAGTAGAAGTAACTATGCCAAGTTTCAATTCAATTCCACAAGCACCTATATATATATATACACCTCTATTGGTGAGAACTTCCCACTTGGCCCACCAGAGCCATACGGGGCCACTCGCTGTGTGTATGAAGGATGCGAGCGCAGAGAGGCCTTTCCTTGTCATTGTTCCCACCATAAAATTTTCATTCAGAGAGCTGAACTGAACATTTTAAATGTGTGAATTGTGTGGTATGTGAATTATATCTTAATAAATCTGTTAAAAAGAAAAGGAGAGAGAGAGAGAGAGAGAAGAAAAGGAGAGAGAGAGAGAGAGAGAGAGAGAGAGAGAGAGAGAGAGAGAGATAACCAGAGCTGGAAACGTTCCCAAATGCCTCTCTAAAATTAAACACCCTCTTGTTACCCAGTGAGTTGCTGAATCAATTCAACCATCCCAGATGTTTTCCTTATTTCCTGCCGTTGAGCTGTACTCTATAATTTAGTATTAGCAGAAAGTTAATAAAAACACATCCTTTGTAGCTAAATTTTACACAATGTTTACCATTTCCCTCCAACATACACATTTCCTCTGTTTTCCCACTGCAGCTGAGCTGCCAAAACCTTGTAAGAGAATAATTACCCTTCTACACCCCTTCTACTTTAACGATAGTCCCAATCCTTGTGCATAATCAAGTGTTTATGGCAAACTGTTTTGCTTGCCTCTCCAGGAGGTTTTAATTCACCAAACTAGAAGTGGATTTCCCCCCATTTGGGGGGCAATAGTAGGATTTGGGAGTGGTGTGGGGTTTCATTTTGGGTAATGAAATATCCTAAAATAAGATAGTGAGGACAGCTGCACAGATCTGTGAATATACTAAAAAACCATTGATTTGCATACTTTAAATGAGTGAACTATACAATATATGAATTATATTTTATACAGCTGTTTTTAAAACAGATTTTACTCTACATCCAAATGTCCATCAACTAATGAACAGATGAACAAAATGTGATACAGTCATACAATAGAATATTACTTAACAAAAAAAGAGATAAAATATTGATATATGCAACATATGAAACTCAGAAACATTATGCTAAGAGAGAGAACCCAGCCACAAAACACAAAAGAGCACATACTGCATGATTCCCTCATACAAAATATCCCCAAAAGGCAAATCCAGAGAGGCAGAGAGCAGATTAGTGGTTGCCTGGGGCTGAGAGTGGGAAGAGGAAGTGATTGTAAATAGGCACAAGGCATCTTTAGGGGGTGATGGAAATGTTCTAAAACTGTATTGTAATTGTTTCACAACTCTGTAAATTTACTAACAATCATTGAATTGTACAATTTAAACATTAGTTTATGGTCTGTAAAGTATACCTCAATAAAGCTGTTTTAAAAAAGAAAGTACTCTAAAAGAGGCCAATAACACAATTTTTTAATGGACAAACTATATGAACAATTTACAGAATGAACTAAAAGCACAAAGTGATGCTTAACCTCACTAGTAATAAGAGAACTAACTGCTAATTAAAACTATAATGTACCAAACAGACTAGCAAAAACGCCATGGAAACAACTTAAATGTCTACCAATAGAAAAACAAACAAATACATGATGATATAATCACATAATGGATTAACATCTAGTGGCGAAAATGAATGAATTAATGTCACATACATTGCAATGCCATTAAAATAAATTTAAAATCATGTACAATGATACTACAAATAGCTTAAGGGGTAGTAAGTACAAATTCAGGATAGTGATCCTTTCAAGTAGAGAATTTTCAGCTGAGTGATGGGTGCATAAGCATTTTACTCTTCATATTTTTTATATGTTTGAACTATTTCATAATAAACTAAAATTTGAAAATTTACTCTAAAAATGTTTAATTTATGCCCTAGCCAGTTTGGCTCAGTGGATAGAGCGTCAGCCTGTGGACTGAAGGGTCCCTGGTTTGATTCTGGTCGAGGGCACATGCTCGATCCCCAGTAGTGGGTATGCAGGAAACAGCCAATCAATGATTTTCTCTCATCACTGATGTTTCTATCTCCCTCTCCCTCTACCTTCCTCTCTGAAATCAATAAAAAAAATATTTAAAAAATAAATAAGTAAATTTACTACCGTAGAAAAGAAATGAGATATGTGGAAAATAAAATTTTAAATTATTGAGAAATAATTCACATGCCATAAAATTCACTCTCTTAAAGTATGCAATCCAGTAGCTTTTAAAATATTACAAGGTTGTATAAAAATCACCACTGCCTAATCCAAGAATATTTTTTCCTTACTTCAAAAAGAAACCCCATACCCATTAGCAGCTACTCCCAATTCTCTATCTACAATTCCTAGCAACCACTAACCTACTTTCTATTTCTATGAATCTACCTACCCTGAACATTTCAGATAGATCGAATCATACAATGTGTGGTCTTTTGTGTCTGGCTTCTTTTTAAATATTTTAAATCATAATTTTTTTTTAAATCCTCATCCGAGGATATTTTTCCATTGATTTTTAGGGAGAGTGGAAGAAAGAGGGAAAGACAGAGAGAAACACTGATGTGAGAGAGGCACATCAATTGGTTGCCTCCTGCATGAGCCCCAACCAGGACCTGGGTCCGGGAGGAGCCTGCAACTGAGATACATGCCCTTGACCAGAATCGAACCCAGGAGGGTTCAGTCCGCAGGCCAACACTCTATCCACTGAGCCAAACCAATTAGGGCTTAAATTATAATTTTTAAATTCATCTATATTGTTGCATGTATCCATACTCCATTCCTTTTTATGGCTAAAAAATACTCCATTATGTAAATATATCACATCTGTTTATCCATTGATAGACTTCTGGGTTGTTTCCATATCTGGGCTATTTTGAACAGTGCTGCTATGAATATTCTTGTATAGATTTTTATGTGAACATGTTTTCATTTTTCTTGGGTATACATCTAGGAGTGGAACTTCTGGGCCATATAACTCCATGTTTAACTATTTTCCAAAGTGGCTGCACCTTTTTACATGGAGCATAGTTTTGAAAGCTGTTTATTCTTGTAAATATTTTTCATTTATAAATTTATTGAAATAAACTTTAAAAAGGAATATTTACCCCAAGACTAACACAATGGATTTTATTTTTTATTAAAAATATATATCCTATATATATATCATATAATCATAGAGGATATACAATTTACTTTTTTTTCCATTTTCAGTATATATTTAGGTAGTCATTTGCAGGATCCATTTATTCAGACTTCTTTATGATGGTAATTACTACCAAAAGCTATAAAGTCGATTCAAAATGTTCATACACTTTATGAAGCCTACAGTATTGTATTCAATTTCTGTCAATTTCTTTAAAAGGCATGCTTTCATCAGTGGCATGTGCTAGTTAGAGAATATAAACTGTTTAACATTCAGATAAATGATGAAAACTGACGATTTCAAAATGTATCAGTGTTTTTTCACTAACAGCTTATAGTTTCCAGTTTCAAAAAGTGAAAAGATTTTGATGATTTGGAATAATTTAAGATTAACCATTCCAATTCTTAAAGAACCAATTAAAAAGGCAAAATTATTTTTAAAGACTAAGTAAAAATATTCGCTAAAAACATTAGTGACTCAAATTACCAACCTTAAATACATCCTCAATACATCTACTAAGTTCTTCTTCTGTCACCAAAATGGTCCCTGGCACCATGTCATTCTCTGGAATCTCTAGAGAACAAAAACCAAAATTACCCACACTCAAGTCAACAGAAATAGCATGTCATTTTTTTTTGCCATTTTTTAATAACATACTGATTGATTCTAGGATAGATTCCTATTAAATATATAAAGGAATTTTAAGTATTTACTCAACTATTATGTTTACCATGTCTGATTAATTTCACTTCACCAAGGCTCAGTCTGGTGAAGTTTTACTCTGCAAAAGAATTAGATTTTTTCCATGACTCCACATCTCCCACCACATACACCCAGAAAAATTCACACTACAAAATGACTTCTACACAAAGTCTACACAGACCTAAATTTGGTTTAACCATAACACCCAACATTTTTTTCTTCATTTTTAACCTTAGGAACTACTATCTAGAAAAAAAAATTTTTTTTTAATCACCAAGAGTGCTATAATGATACTCAGTATCCCAGCATTAAACTCAATAAAGCTATACATACTAAGGGAAGTGTTGAAAATGTCAATCTTTTAAGACATTAAAACAGAACTAAACACACTGGCCAAATTCGGGGAAAATCTGAGCATCAAAATAAATGACAGAAATGTTTGGTAACCAATTAAAAAAGAATCTAAATATCTATATTGATATTTAAATAATAATTTTTTAAAGGGGTGAGGCAGGAAAAAAGAAAAGCTCTTCTTTACAGAATACTAACAAAATAGAAATAATGAAAGAAATAGTCACCATTTTACTGGTAAGACTCATCAATGGATTCTAAACCATAGTATGAAAGGCTATTGGGAAATAGTATTCACACAGACTATCACACAGTCTCAGACTATCATGACATAGCTTACTTATTAATTACATAGGGAGGACAGTACTTTACAATGGAGAAATCTGTGTGCTACTGCATTAACTAAATTATCAAATATAACATTGCTAATAATGGGATAAAGTGATTACATATGTCCCTTAATCTGATGGAGACTGAAAAAAGAACCATCATCCTATATAGTATTCCTGCCAAAATGTTTAACCTGGATCTGATCATGAGGAAACAATTAAACAAATACAAATTAAGAAACATGCCCTAGCTGGTTTTGCTCAGTGGATAGAGCATCGCCCTGCGGACTGAACCCTCCTGGGTTCGATTCTGGTCAAGGGCACATACCCGGGTTGCAGGCTCGGTCCCTGGTGAAGGGGCGTGCGGGAAGCAGCTGATCAATGATTTTCTCTCATCAGTGATGTTTCTATCTCTCTCTCCCTCTCCCTTCCTCTCTGAAATCAAAAAAATATATTTAAAAAAAAAAAGTAACATTCTATAACCTAGGCTCTTCAAAAATATGGGGTGAAAGACAAACAAAAAACTGGAGAAGTATTCTATATTAAAGGAAACTAAAAAGACATAGAGGAATGTAATGCATGATTCTTGGCTGGATTCTGGATTTTAAAAAGTAGTTATAAAGGAAATTCTTGGGACAGTTAGAGAAATCTGAATAAAATCTGTATATTAGATGATGTCTACAACTAACTCTCAAATGTTTCAGAAAAAACAATGTACACGTATTGAAAGAGAAAGATAAAGCAAATGTGGCCAAAAAATAACAGTTGGTCAATCTAGGTTCACTGTATCTTCTTAGAACTTTTGTGAACTGGATTTTTCAAAATAAAAAGTTGGGGGAGAAAATGGTAAAACTAAAGTCACTGATATACCACAGACTGAAGTCATTTAAACCTGAAACACTGAAGAAGATCCTTTAGAGGGGCACCCAACCATCAGACTTCCTCCTTTACCTGCTGTATTTAAACATCGATGAAGAGGCGCTAATACTGGCTGAAGCAAATACTTTGCTGCCAATTGTGGGTGTTCTCTTGACATAGTTATGAAGGTAGTGGTGGCAACTCTCTGAAATTGTCGTGCTGTTAATTTATCTTGAAAGTGAAATAAATCCAGGATCTAAAAGAAAAAGTATATGAAGAAAATAAATACCAGCCTCTTTACAAGGGGCATTACATTAACTAAAAAGAAAAAGCACTAATTTCTTTTTTTTTAAATATATTTTGATTGATTTTTTACAGAGAGGAAGGGTGAGGGATAGACAGTCAGAAACATCGATGAGAGAGAAACACCGATCACCTGCAAACCCCTCACTGGGGATGTGCCCGCAACCAAGGTACATGCCCTTGACCAGAATCGAACCTGGGACGCTTCAGTCCGCAGGCCGACGCTCCATCCACTGAGCCAAACTGGTCAGGGCAGCACTAATTTCTTTAGGCCAAACAATAAACTCACTGCAGTAACACTGATTCAACAAAATCGGTTTTTTAAAATTTAACAACCCAGTATCAAAGGTTGTGAGAACGAAGAGACTATGTTTTCATTAAATAATTTTATAAAATTTATAAAATATATGCTCATTGTAGAAAATCTAGAAAATAATGTTTTGAGAATGAAATTAAATCTTCCTAAATCACTAATAATCATTTTTGGTGTATTTTTTCCAATATACAGTATTTCTGTATAATTCTTTTTTCTTTTTAATTGAAGCCACACTTAATATTCGGTTTTGGCAAAAGCCGGTTTGGCTCAGTGGATAGAGCGTCGGCCTGCGGACTGAAGGGTCGCAGGTTCGATTCCGGTCAAGGGCATGTACCTGGGTTGCGGGCACATCCCCAGTGGGAGATGTGCAGGAGGCAGCTGATCGATGTTTCTCTCTCATCGATGTTTCTGGCTCTCTATCTCTCTCCCTTCCTCTCTGTAAAAAAATCAATAAAAATATATTTAAAAATATTGTTTTGTATATCATTAAAATATCATCTATATATATAAAGCCCTAATATGCAAATAGACTGAACAGTGGAACAACTGAATAACCAGTTGCTATGACGTGCGCTGACCACCAGGAGGCGTGTGTGGAACATGGTGGGCGTCGGCCGTGGTGGGATGGTGGAACAGTTTAGCAGGGCACCAGACCAAGGCGGGGTACCTGTCACTGTCATTGGGGTGAGCCTCTGGTGGTTACTGAAAATTCTTTGCTTCCCCCAACGCCGCGGTCCCATCTAGTGCTCAGACCCGCTGCTGGTGCTGGCCCTAATCGCTCTGTGCCATCAGCGGGTGCCAGTGGGGCCGGCGCCGTCAGCGCGTGGGAGCAGCGGGAGCAGGGCTGCCGGCAGAGAGGGGACTGGGGGCTGCAGCAGGGCTGGTGGGGGAGCACAGGATGGGCCAAGACCCACCCCAGTGCCCACCGCAGCCTCGTGGCCCACAGTTCAAGGTGCACGAATTCGTGCACTGGGCCCCCAGTACTGTTATAAATTCCTCAAAAATACTTTATGGTGATATATATCTATTCAAGCGGCAGGTAAGAATTTATTAAATTATTTCCTAATATCCAGACATTCTGTTTATCACCAAATTTTGCTAGTATAAAAGCACCACTAAATGAAATTACTGGGTCAAGGTATATAAGTACATTTAGAGTCTGAAGTTCGCCTGTCGTGTATGAACAGCCTATTTTCTCAAAGACAAACATAGATCTCCAGTGCCTCGGTGGGTTTACCACACTCTAAAAGCAGCTGATAGAAAAGTATATTTCTGTTCCTGACTTAAAAGTGACTCTTGCACTTTTTGCAGGCAGGAGAATCTCTGTCCAAAAACTGTATGTGACCTCTGACACTGCCAGAAAGACTCAGCAAGCCTGAAACCTGTGACTTGATTTTAGCCTTTGTCAAGTACCAAAACTAAAGCTCCTAGTTTCAGAAAATATTTATTCATCATTGCAAATGCTAACTTTGTCCTGTAAGATTATTTATATGTAGTATATTTCACTATAAAATCTTTACATTGTGATATTGTGTTCTCATGCATGCCTGCCCAAGAGAACCCTGATCAGCATAACAAAGAACTACTTTCTTTGGACTATACTTCAAAAGCCATGTCTTACATTTAATTGCATGGGGAGTACTGATTAAGAAAACTCCTTCCAGCCCTAACCGGTTTGATCAGTGGATAGAGCATCAGCCTGCAGAGTGAGGGGTCCCAGGTTCGATTCTGGTCGAGGGCATGTACCTTGTTTGCAGACACATCCCCAGTAGGGGGTGTGCAGGAGGCAGCTGGTCGATGTTTCTCTCTCATCGATGTTTCTAACTCTCTATCCCTCTCCTTTCCTCTCTGTAAAAAATCAATAAAATATATTTTTTTAAAAAGAAAAAAAAGAAAGAAAACTCCTTCCACATTTTTCACCTATCAGATTAGCAAAGGTAAAAAAGTTTTGTAGCATGTTGTATAGGCAAAAGTGTAGGAAAACAGATACATAAATAATATCAGTTAAAAATTTAACTGTATATACCCTTTGAACTAGTCATTTCAATTCTGGGAATTTTTCCTATGGTAGGACTTGCACATGTACAAGATTTATGAGTATTAACTGTAGCACGGCTTATAATAGCAAAATAATGAAAACAACTCAAATATCCATTAGGGGACTGGTTAAATAAATTATGGTACAGTAATGTAATGCAATACTACCCACCCATGAAAAAGAATTAGGCAGCTCTATATGAAATGACTATATGAAATGATCTCCAAGGTACATTGTTAAGTTAAAAAAGCAAAATGAAAAACAGTGTGTGTAGTATGTTATCATTTGGATGAAAATTAGACTATATATACACATACAAATACATATAGTTATATATACATAACACACAGAATATTTCTGGAAAATAAACAAGAAATTGGTAACAGTGACTACTTCTGAGGGACTAGAAGTGAGAGGGAAACTTACAATTCTGTTAACTCTTTTGTGCTTTTTAAATTACTAGTATGTGTCATATTAATTTACCTTATTTATTTAATACCTATTTTTAGCTAATTAAAAACACAGAAAAGATAAGGACCAAGATAAAACTTTAGTTTCATAGCCCAACTCTGATAGCAAGCTTGGTGGGCTACTTACTTATCTGATAGTGATAAAGTGTACTTAAACCTAACAATTAGGTCGGTGTCTCCAACAGGTTTTTAATTCCCTTATTAAGAAGGTCACTTGCTGAAACTGATTTGGCTCAGTGGATAAAGCATCGGCCTGTGGACTGAAAGGACCCAGGTTCGATTCCGGTCAAGGGCATATACCTGGGTTGCGGGCACATCCCCAGTAGGAGATGTGCAGGAGGCAACTGATTGATGTTTCTGTCTCATTGATGTTTCTAGCTCTCTATCTCTCTCCATTCCTCCCTGTAAAAAAAAATCAATAAAATATATTTTTTTTAAAAAAAAAAGGTCACTCACTGAACAATAAACTTAAATATTATATTGCTTTTACCTCAATATTAGAGGAACATTAAAAATCCTCTTTCTGTAAATAAGCAGAAAATCCTCAAACATTCAAAAGAAACAAAATGATTTACCTGGGGGCAGGTATCTCTATAGTAGTCCTCTGGTGAGAGAGACTGCTGGGGACAAGAGGCCAAAATCTTTGCAATCAAGTCACACTTTTTCCAGTCAGCAGCTGTTGCCTCCGCATCACTCCCACCAGCCACTCCAGCTGTCAGCAATGAACAGAGATGTCAAAAACTCACAGCAGTTTCCCAGGTCAGGTCCTAAAAATCTGAGATAGCCCTGGCTGGGTTTTCTCAGTGGTTAGAGTGTGGGCCCATGGATCAAAAGGTCGCAGATTCGATTCCGGGTCAAGGGCATGTACCTCGATTGCAGGTTCAATCCCCAGCCCCCAGTCAGAACTCAAGTGGGAAGCAACCAATTGATGTGTCTCTCTCACGTCAATGTTTCTCTCCCTCTCCCTTTCCCTCACCCTCATCCTTACCCTCTTTCCTCACTCCCTCCCACTCTCTCTAAAAATCAAAGGAAATAATATTCTTGGGTAAGGATAACAAAAAAACCCACAAACTTTAACAATTACCAGGCATACGCATACAATTCAGTCATAAAAAGGAATAAAGGGCTGATTCATGTACAACACGACTAAACCTAAAAAAACAAAATGAAGCTAAGTGAAAGAAGCCAAACACAAAGATCACAAATGGTATCATTCATTCCATTTGGATGACATATCCAGAACAGGAAAATTCATTGAGACAGAAAGTAGATTAGTGCTTACAAGGAACTGGAGGAGGGGACAGGGGGAGTAATTGGGGGGGATAATGATAAAAATGTTGGGAATTATGGTGGTGCTGTCGGCACACAGACCATGTGCATCCCCGAGCACGACCTCTACCCCAACGACCTGAGTTATACTTTAATGTATATGTGAATGTATCGAAAGTAATCTGTTTGTTTTTTCCTGGTTTTTGTTTGTTTTTGTTTTGCTTTTAGCCTTTATGTGCTAGGATCACAGGCAGACTTTGTAAGGATGGCTGAAGTTCTCCTACAAGGTTTAATTTCTTATCATGTATATATTCCAAAGCAAGCTGCCTTGTGGTTTCGGCCAGCCTTGTGCTATGTTGATAAGACTGATTTACTGCTTAAAATCACTTTACTTTATCCAATTTTTACTGAACTTTTTATGTAAAAAATAAAATTAATTAAAGAAAAATGTTTGGAATTAGATATTAGTAATGGCTACACAACTTTGTGAATATACTAAAAACCACTGAATTGTATTGATTTTTTTTAAATGTATTTTTATTGATTTCAGAGAGGAAGGGAGAGGGAGAGAGAGATAGAAACATCAATGATGAGAGAGAGAATCATTGATTGGCTGCCTCCTGCACACCGCCTACTGGGGATTGAGCCCAAAACCAGGCATATGCCCCGACCAGGAATTGAACCGGTGACCTCTTGGTTCCTGGGTCAACGCTCAACCGCTGAGCCACACCTGGCTGGGCTGTATTCTTTATTTTTAACTATATTTTTTAAGATTGTTTATTTGAGATTTTTCTTGTTTCTTTTTTTTTTCTTTTCTTTTCTTTTTTTTTATTGATTTCAAAAAGGAAGGGAGAGGGAGAGAGAGATAGAAACATCAATGATTAGAAAGAATCATTGATCGGCTGCCTCTTGCACGCCCCCAACTGGGGATCGAGCCCGCAACCTAGGCATGTGCCCTTGACCAGAATCGAACCCAGAACGCTTCAGTCCGCAAGCTGACATTCTATCCACTGAGCCAAATCGGCTAGGGCTATTGAGAGTTGATTCATTTTTAGAGAGAGAGGGAGAGTTGAGAGAGGGACGAGAGAAACACCAATTTGTTGTTCCACTTATATATGTATTCACTGGTTGATTCTTGTATGTTCCCTTTTCTTATATGTGCCCTGGTCGGGAATTCAATCCTCAACCTTGGCATATCAGGACCACACTCTAACCAACTCAGCTTCCTGGCCATGGTGTGGAAATGAATCCAAAACTTCATTCCAAAGTGTATATCTCTAAAATATGTGTAGCTTCAAGATAACTATTTTGTGTTTTAAGTCCTGAGGTGAAGTCCTCTTAGCACCCTGCTACAAAGCCTTTTCCCACTGAGAATTTCACATTTTCTTTGGGGTTTTACTTAAACTTTCTGTGCAATATTTTCCTCTGATACTATAAATATTTGAAATAGCCCACAATATCATTCAACAATGTGAGCAGTGTGTCACGAATGTTTTAGAAAAATGGCAAGAAAATAGTTTCTTTGGAAATTCAGAGAGCGGCTGCCCACACAGACGCCGAAGCCAAGCGGGGGCCCGACATCTAACTTGTGTCTTCACATCTGTGCAGGACTGAAAAAGGAAGGGAAAGGTATGAACTGAATGTCAGTGAAATAGATGGGATGTGTAGAAATTATTAAAACATATGTAATGAGACAGACTGACAATAAACAGTATGCTATACAGGCTTCAAAAGAACATTTTTTTCCTTAAAAAAAGGGGGGGGGGCTCCTTTACAAAACCTTCTTCCTCATATTTGTTTTAACTTTTAAGAAAGTAAAAATACAGTAAAACTTCCAGTGAAACAGCAAGTGAAGTTTCAAACCTAGAAATAGACAAACACATCAGTGAATAAAATACAGATTTGGGGAACACAAGGTTAATGTGGCCATTAACCCTGAATGCAGTCCTTCCAGTTGAATCTAGCTTCCAAAGAAGATTCCTCTGACCACTACTCACCACCAGGAGGACAGTTCACAACAGACAGAGGGCAGGCACTCTAGTCTTGCCTCCACGGTCTTACCTACTATGATTCCTTGCGACACAGCTATTTCAAGAAAGAGGTGGATTTCTTCAAGGGCTCCTTTTTGAGAGCTCTGTGGCGCCATCATGAACAAACAGACTTGTGTCCCTTATTTTGAGCAAAAATGTTAACCATTTTTGGACACTTGGGAGCCCAAAATTAGTGAAGGAAACAATCCTAACTAACCTGTCCTCTCTCTTATATTTATGGAGGAGTAATAATTACCATTTATTAAGAACCTTCCACATAACCTCAAAGGGACTATAAAAAAGGCACTGCTGTCATCCCATTTTATGGATAAGGAAAGTGAGGGATGGAAAGGTGTATTAATTCATACAGCTGCGCACTGAGGTTGAATTCTAGTACACCTAACTTCACAGTCTCTTTTTACCACATTATCATTATAATGCATTTGTTTTAATCTGGCAAACTGTGAATTTGTTCAGAGAAGCAGAGTGTGAGCCCAGAGGAGCCCTATGGGGGAAGGGGGGGCTATAGAAATGCTCTAGGGATGAGATGAAAATGACTTCAACTGGGAGGCATCTTTGTCTCCAGCTTCAGCTGGTCCTTGTTCCTGACCCACAGCCAATTCCTTTGGCCCCTCACGCTTTACTCACCAAATTTATGACTAAACTCTAGGTCCTAAGAGCAAATAGGTAATTCCCATCTACATCCCCAAATTCAGTCATTGCAGATACATAATTATTTTTAAGGAAAAAAGGAATTATCGTATGCCTAGCCCTAGGCGAATATATACTACTACTTTTTTTCCCCCCAAAGGAGCTAAAAATAGTCCCAATAACAGCTCTAATTTTAATTTCTTGACTTCAAATACTCCATTCAAAGATAAGATATTCAAATATTTCTGCCAAAAGAATTATTGTCAAACAGCCAAATTTTAGTTTAAAAATATCTAGTTTCAGAATGAATATATTTTAAATAAAACTACCATATTCTTGGGAATAGTGTTCATCATTCCATTAAAAGGAAAATCCTTTTTAAGTTAACCTAAGGATCAGTGAAATTTAGTTTTCCAAATACCATGTAATGATCTAAGAGATGAAATGAGGTTTAACTAGATTATCAAATTTCCCAGGAGAAGGCCCACTCCCAGAAGACTGCACATTATAATTAATGATTCACCCACGAGAGTCCCTAGGCCTGAATACCGACCTGAGGTGGTCCTCCCTGGAGGATAAGTAATTCTCGGACTGCTAATGGTTGATACACTTGATCCAAGATGTCTCTCAAGGCCTCCCTAGATAGGGCTCTTTCCTCTTCGGTTAACACCTAAAAAAAAACATGCAGTACTTGGCTTTTGCAGAATACAAAGCAGGCAGGCAATCGAAGGTGATATTTTACAATACCGCACAGACACTTGTGAGGGGAGAGAGAAGAAGGCTTCTTGATTTCCTTCCGCCTGGAGGAAGCCACACTACAGAGACACTCCTGCCCTCTCTCCATCCCCGCACTCGGCTCTGGGCAGGAAAGCTTACTGACTTACCTCAATGGTGAGGCGGGAATAAGCTTACTTATTGGCTGGTTTTGTCATGCACAGCTCAGCGCGTTCCTCTTCCACCTCTTCAGAGCAAGTGCACATTCTGTTCTGCTCTTCCTGGCTGTGCGTTTTACAGAGGCACGTCCCCTGCCGGAAGGCAGAGGCACTGCAGTTTCCCAGCCCTCCTTAAAACTGGGGGAGTAGTAAGAGTGTCTGATTCTGGAATTCCCTGTTGGGAAGCCCATTTGTCTCCATCTAGAAGCAATATCCTCCAACTTCTAATTTATGAGTAACGTTTGTTTTAATTTTTTACTTATTTTAGAGGGAGGAAGGAAGGGAGGGGGAGAGAGAGGAAGAGGAAGAGAGAGAAACATCGATGTGAGAGAGAAACATTGATCTGTTGCCTCTCATACACTCCCCGACCTGGGATCGAACCCACAACCTCTTGGTACATGGGACGACGTTCCAAGCAACTGAGCCACCGGCCAGGGCTAAAGGTGATGTTCTGACTTTTCACATCTCTCTTACTCTGTTAAATGTCTTTTAATTCATTGAGAACTTGGGCAGCAAAGAGGAGTGCTGTTCATTGGGCCTCAACAGTGCTGTCCCCCTTCAGTAACTCAGTTAAGCAGTCAGTGTGCTGCCCATTATCATTTAGCAAACGGAGGTACAGGAGCTGCTTAGGGTATAGCTGGGACTTGTCCAGCTTCATAATGACACCCATCATGTTTCCCCTTCTGCCAGCTTCTCCCACCTTCATACTTGGTCCTTTCTATGTCTTTCCCTTTCTTTTGTCTCTCCTGCCCGAGACCCCTGGGGCACTGCCTGGCCCCAATGATATTAATAAAACCTGTCGATCAAATGCCCCTATCTCAGAAGTCCAGATAGAATTGTCAGACTCATACCCTGTCATAAAGAGCATAGCGCTCTGCTCCACAGAACAAAGGCAAGGGAGAGCTCATAAATTCCTGTCACTGCTCAAATGATAGTGGGTTTTAGGTAAATGTTTGTGAGCACAGCCAGGAGAGAGAATGGAAAAGGGAACCAACAGGCCTGGCAGGGAGGCTCAGTTGGTTGGAGTGTCAACCCCTACAGCAAAAGGTTGCAGGTTCTATTCCTGGTCGGGCATGTACAGAAAGCAACTCATCAATTGATGTTTCTCTTTCACATCGATGTTTCCCTCTTCCTCTACAAATCAATAAACATATCCTGGGGTGAGGATTTTAAAAAGGGGGGAACAAAAAGAAACATGTTGGAAGATGACATAGAAAAGTGACAGAGAAATGAGGTGGTGGGCATTATGAGATCTGGCCGCAGTGGTTAAGGAATTACCCTGCATATGAACTACACTGACCCTCGCTACATTTATACAATTTTATAAAAAGGACACAGAGGCTCAAAGAAATAGCCTGTGATAACTGTTCCATAGAATGACAAGAAGGGACAGGTGAAATGGGCTCTCCAGGTGTGCAAATGACTAGCATCTAATAAAGCTCCAACCCTCTAAAAAGATTCATTTATCTACTGGGTATGCTTTGACATTCACTAGGAACTCTAGCTCTTTCCATCAGTCCCTTTCTAAAGAAGTAAGAGTTATCTTTTATAACATGCACACACAAATATATACACATATCATAGATTCACACAGACACACCCTCAGACTCTGACTCTCTCCTCTCTCTCTCAACATATATTTTACCTCTTCTTCAGCTTTTAGTGATTTTCTCTTGGTTGGGCAGAATCCCAGTTGGCACAGACCTGCTGCAATATCCCCAAAATGGCGGCAGAAAATCAAGCTCCCCAGAGATGCGTGCTGAGCAACATTTAGGAGGACCCTGCAGCTGGTATACAGTCTCCGGGTTGCATCGGGGGCAGCATCGAGACACACCACGTCTTGAACAACAGCCCCAAACTCAGTCCTGTATCTCAAGGGAACTCCAACACCAGGCATGAGATAGGGGCAGATGCCCAAGGTGACCACAAACTGTAAAGCTGACTGGACAGTCTTCTGCTGGGAGATACTGAGTGTATCTGGGCTCAGGGCAGGGGCGGCTTCTGGAGTCCTTGGGTTGGGTTTAGCTGGAATGAAATCAGCAGCAAGGTGGATCATGGTTTCCTTCAAGCACAAGAGCAACAGTAAGGTTTGAGAGGTAAAACTCCAGGTGACATCCACAGAGTTTTGGGGCCACTCTGCCCTATTAGCAATTTCATCCCTTAGGAGTTTCAGTTTCTCCCAGTGAGGATCCTTCAGAAATTTGTCCTCCAAAGCAGACAGGTTAGATTTTAAAGTAGCCAACAAGACATCATGTTTTGTGATCTGTAGTGAACTTGAGCCTGATCCTTTAAAGGGAAAAAAAAGGAGAGACAACATACGTGGAAAATTAATTACACTTTCCTCTGTGGAAATGCACTGCCCACTCCAGTTCCTCCTCTGAGGCCTGGCTCAGAGGGCACTGCCTCTGGAAAGCCTCCCCTAATTGTGCCGCCCAGCCTAGGCAGAATTCAGGACCACATTTCCTCCCTGCCCACAGCGCTTCGGATGTCATTAGAATAGCGTCCCTAACATGTTATACTTCAGCTAGTTAGTTTCTATTCCACTTGTTCTGAAGTCAGAGGCCATGTCTTAGCTATCTTTCTGGGCTTAAATTGTAGCTAGAACAGAAATTTAGAAAGCTGAACATTTACTATCGAAGATTCATTCACTCAAACTATTCTAGGTGCAGCCATTAAATTATATTGAACATTAATTAATGACATGTTCATTCAATATATTCTAAAGTGGACAAAGAGTATAAAACACTGTATGAGCAACAGATGTAAAGTTTATAGAAAAAATGCAAGTGACTTTTAATCATGAAAATATGATCCACTTTGCTCCTAAAAGAAAGGTAAGTTAAAATTGTACTAAAATAGCACTTCCCATCTATCAGCTGGCTAAAGTCCAAGTTTTATAACACACTAGTGACCCGGTGCACAGACTCGTACACATTGAAGGGAAATTAATTAGGTGGCGGCCAGCGGGGCCAGACACACTCTGGAGCCAACCTCCCGTGGTCCCTCCCCAGCCAGCTGCACCTGGGGTGGTGCTGGGGAGTGAGCAGGGTCCCGCCGGCAGGTGGGGTCCCTTAGCCTGGCCTGCAGGGATCAGCTAAAACCACTCTCTGACATCACCCGAGGAGTCTTGGAGTGTGAGAGGGCACTCTGCAAAGTTGCTGTCATCCAGGGTGTGGAACGCAAACGCAAGTGTGCAGTAAACCAACCAGATTTGGGGGGACAGTGCCCCAGCAACAACAAAACCCACGGCCAAAGGTAGAATCCTGCAACCCCACAAGGAATTGGGCTCCCTCTTCTCTGGTTTCGGGGTGAGTCACCCGAGAACCACCACTGCCAACTCACTGCAGCTTGGCAGCTCCTGCGTTGAGCGTCTGGCCCCTGGTGGTCAGTGTGCATTGTAGCAACCAGTCAGACGGTCGGACACTTAGCATATTAGCCTTTTATATATGTAGATTATGTGACAAAGTTTGGGGAAAAACACACGATCATACATTGCTGGTAGAAACTAAAATGGTACCTCCCTAAGGAGAGAAATTGGGCAATATATAGTAAAATCACATCGGCATTTAACCTTTGCCTAGCAATTCCATTTTAGGAATTCAGGCAAAAATGACATATACACAAGGTATTCATTGTAGTGTTTCTTGTATTAACAAAAGACTTGTGCTAGCAAGTTTGGCCCAGTGGATAGAGCATCAGCCTGTAGACTGAAGGGTCATGGGATCGAATCTGGTCAAGGGCACGTACCTCAACTGCAGGCTCCTCCCTGGCCTGGGCCCTGGTCAGGGTTCGTGCAGGAGGCAACCAATCAATGTGTTTCTTTCACATCAATATTTCTCTCTGTCTTTCCCCCTCTCTAAAAATCAATGGAAAAATATCCTTGGGTGAGGAGTAAAAAAAAAAACAAAAGACTGAAACAATCCAAATGCCCATTAATAGAAAACTGATTGAATAAGAAATGGTATGTACACATAATGGA